TTGTGTTAGTTTGTTTGTCGTTTAACGCCGCACTCGGCAACATTCCAACTACATGGCGGCGGTCTGTAAATAATCGAATCTGAACCAGACAATCCGGCGATCTAACGCATCGATCTATGACATATGTCAACCAAGTCAGCGAGCCGGACCACCAGATCCCGTCAGTCGCCTCTTACTACGAGCATGGATTGCAGAAGACCAGTTCTAACCCGGATCTTCAAGGATGAACATCTAAGGGCGGTGTGTTATATTTCTATCACCCAAAGCGACATTTCTATGTTTTACGTAGGTAAATAAGGAATCCACCCTTGCACAAATGTAACCCGATATCGGACAGATTTGTTAGCTGGAAAATGGCGCTTGGCCTTCTGCGCGAATCGTTAGCGTTACTGGTTTAACTGTTTCACCTACTTCAGCTAAATGAAATACTCTGTTAATTGGTAACATCCGCAGAGACGAGTGTGCACTGCGATCCCGTAGAGAGGACAATACCGTTGGTACTGTGGACTCGAAACAGACACAACGTCTTCCTCAAACATCCTTCCTCAGACAGAACACCACAGTGAAACAATCAAAAACCTATAATGGAACATTAACGCCCAGATTATCAATATGATATGATGTAGCCAGCACCGCTTTGTGTGCTAGGCGATAATTGGTTTACCTATCCTTCAACTCAAATATAACATTAATAGCGGCGAAAGAAACTCTTGAAAAGCACTAATTATTTATTCTCACTAATGCACACTTACGTGTTGACCCCCAAAAATCAGATACGACCAACATGACAAACATGGCGCATTTGTGCAGAGATCTAATCTTGAATGTCCTTTTGTGTGGTCTTTCTTTTTCCACTTAGTGACCAGGATTTTCCACATACAGGAAAAATTAAGTGAACTAAATGTAAAAATGACTGTCCCTATTTTCCTTCTAAGACTGAGGCGAGCTCATATTAACAAGACGCATGAAGGTCCGGGTTAGAATGAATCTTCAGTAACCCACGCTTGTCGTAAGAGGCGACTAAAGGGATCGGGTGGTCAAGCTCGCTGACTTGGTTGACACATGTTATCGGTGCCCAGTTGCACAGATCGATGCTCATGCTGTTGATCACTGGATTGTCTGGTCCAGACTCGATTATTTACAGACCTCCGCCATATAGTTGGAATATTGCTGAGTGCGGCGTAACACTATTATAAACTCACTCACTCATATTAACAAGTGTGCAAATATGGGTCTGAAACTAGTAATGTGAATGTGCAGCGAACTACAGTACAACCAGAAATTATTGAGAATTTAAAGATTGTAAATGTTCTATTTCTTTCACTCATTACTCACGTAAATGTGAATATTAGCAGAACATAACTCCAGATTCAAAGACAGGTGAACAGTTAGTATTTTGTCAAGTCACCATGGACAGCAATGCAGGCTCAATGCGGCGGGGCATACTACTGATCAAAGAAGTTAGAAAGTCGTGGTCCATGCTGTCCCAATATCGGACCACCTCTTCTTTCATTTCAGCAATATTTGTCAGATTTTTCTTACTGACACTTTCCTTCATAAGTCCCCAAACATTTTCTATTGGATTTAGGTCAGGGCTATAGCTTTGCCGATCTAATAATGTCATATTTTGGGTCCGAAACCAGGCCTGTGAATGCTTTGAACGATGTTTTGGGTCGTTGTCCTGCTGGAAAATCCAAACATTTCCTTAGAACACGTGAACAGATGGAAGTAAATGCCCCTCGAGAATATCTGTGTACCGCTCACTGTTCATATTCCCTTCAAATACACAGAGGGGCGTTGCCCCTAACACAGATATGCCACCCCACACGTTAAATTTCGGACTGTAAAGGTTTTTCAGTTTGTTTGGTCCAGAATTTCAGTGTATTAGGAAACAGCCACGCAGAACTTTCATCTGAGAAAATCACATTGTCCCAGTTAAAATTTCTATGCTGTAAGCACCAGTTCAACCTTCGCTCCTTTTGTTCAGGTTTCATGATCGGTGATGGAATTCCTCGACTTTTCTGCCAACCCATTGCATGCAGCTCAGTTCTAATTGTCTCCTTACAGACAGCCACAGTTCCTCTATCAATCATATCCAGCCTTAAGTTTTCTTAACTCCTTCGTTTGTTTTTATAAACAAGAATACCAAACCGCCTCGTGTCACCGACAGTCAATTTTGTGGGCCTACCTGCGCCTCCCTGGTGCTCAATGCCATATAAATTTGCAATATTTTTCAAAACACGATAAACAGTGGACAAAGGGATGCCTGTTCTACTTGAAAACACTTTAGCTGGTCTGATGTCCTTGTTATCAACTTCCTCTTCTCTAAATCATCCATACTGGGGATCACTGAAAATGTCGTCTGCTAGCATGTAAACAAAGGGGGATAACTCTTCACAAACTAATGAAAAAGGATAAACGAAGTTGTCTCTGTTGAATGAAACCAAGCACTTGATAGCTGGTCAAGGTTGTTTATACTAGAAATCCAATTAAACATATTCCTAAACTTCTCAATAATTTCTGGTCATACTATACAGCTATAGCGAACTCGAGCTCAAAGTGATTCCTTATCTTAGTCCGTTATAACAGTAGTCCGTCATACGCATTTCGACTAGAATACACACAAGATGAGAGCGACCAAACCAGTTCGTTATATCCGTCAGTTCGATATAAGCAGTGTATGAAATAAGGCCAGTCGGACCGCCCGAGACGGTCTAGATTTCTGACGGACGGTCTAAACTTACAGCTAGCCAGCCCGATGGTCTGGTACAAATTGTAGATCTTCCATATATCTGAGTAAATTTACCATATTTGGTCTGGTTAAATCCATATTGGGCTGGTAACATTATGAAGTTACCAGCCCTGATGTCTGGCTGGGTTTTTGGCTTATTTCATACACTGATATAAGCGTGTTCGTTTAAAACGTAGTTTACTTCATCGTGAATGTTGGAGGGATGTTTCCCTCAGGCGTGCCAGAAACCTACGATCGAAATTCGAACGCAGTAAGCTCCGGCCTGTAAACAATCTAGTGTGGACAATCCTTGTATTGATAATAAAGAATGACCTTAATTGTTGGAACGCGTGAACAGAAATGCATAACACAGAATAACCTTGGTGGAAGGTTTATACAGGAAAATAACCCCAAGTGTATACAGATATGTAAAATACGGTATGAACCTTGATGGAACGTGTATACAGAAATGTAACACAAACAATGACTGGTGAAAAGTGTATACAGATATATAAAATACGGTATGAACCTTGATGGAACGTGTATACAGAAATGTAACACAAATAATGACTGGTGAAAAGTGTATACAGATATATAAAATACGGTATGAACCTTGATGGAACGTGTATACAGAAATGTAACACAAACAATGACTTTGGTGAAATGTGTATACAGATATGTAAAATACGGTATGAACCTTGATGGAACGGGTATACAGAAATGTAACACAAATAATGACTGGTGAAAAGTGTATACAGATATATAAAATACGGTATGAACCTTGATGGAACGTGTATACAGAAATGTAACACAGAATGACTTTGGTGAAAAGTGTATACAGATATGTAAAATACGGTATGAACCTTGATGGAACGTGTATACAGAAATGTAACACAAAAAATGACTTTGGTGAAATGTGTATACATATATGTATATGTAAAATACGGTATGAACCTTGATGGAACGTGTATACAGAAATGTAACACAAAGAATGACTTTGGTGAAATGTGTATACAGATATGTAAAATACGGTATGAACCTTGATGGAACGTGTATACAGAAATGTAACACAAAGAATGACTTTGTGGAACGTGTAGACAGATATGTAAAATACGGTATGAACCTTGATGGAACGTGTATACAGAAATGTAACACAAAGAATGACTTTGGTTGAAAGTGTATACAGATATGTAAAAATACAGTATGACCTTGTGGAACATGTAGACAGGAATGTACATTACAGAATGACCTTGGTGAAACGTGTGTACAGAAATTAACACAAAGAGTTACCTTTGTGGAACGTGTATGCAGAAATGTACCATCGGGTAACATACAGAATGACCTTGGTGGATCGCTAATCTATAGATATAAATACAGAACGATTTTGTTTTATCGATTATTTTGATATGTAGATTAACGAGTAAGCTTTGAGTAACATTCGTCACCACTTGCCCCTTTCCGCAAACTCCAAGAATAACACGAGTTGGTCACGAATGCTTTGAGTAAATAGACAGTACATTCGTGACCAACTCGTGTTATTCCGGGACAAGCCGAATAGCGATTACGGAAAGGGGCGAGTGGTGACGAATGTAGACAGTAACATATAGAAGGGCCAGCGCGGGAGGTGTTTATACTGATGTTGAATAAAGATTTACCATGGTGGAACGCGTATTCAAATATTTAAAATACAGAATGAGATTACATGAACGCGTAGAAAGAGATTTAAACAAGAAAATGACGCTTACATTTGAATTACCATTTCATATAGAAGATTATCGTGAAGAAAGCAGTAGAACGTCAAGACAGAATGTACACGTATATTATATAAATCTTGATTTTCTCTTTTGTGAATCTATGAGAGTTTTACTCACGTAGGTCTCCATCTTGAAGGTATTTGTCTGGTACATTTCACATTCAAAACAGTTTTTACATATTTGATACAAATATTGTCTGCACTTTATTTGCAAATTGCATATTGGGGCACTTTAAAAAACCTTTTAACATTTAACAGCAAACTGAAAGCAAATTGAAGCGTAATAAAATATTCATTACCCTGCTATAGACAAAATATTATCCATTTAAATTCTAGCTCAGCTGAAATAAAAATGTCCATAAATATAACATTTTTTGTTCTGTTTATGGTTTGGGGGTTTTATATTTTGAAAACGGGCTTGCGCTTTACATTACCTCACGTGACTTTTCTTCACAAACGTACCTCACAAATTATCTCCCTTCAATAATTATTGAAAACGAGGCTCAGTTCCGGATCGTTCGTACAAAGGTATGTCACGAATAGTGACTCAATTGATTTCACACGCAATTCGTACGTTTATGAACGGGTACAGAGTATAGAGGTTTGTGTCAGTAAATGTGTTAGTAGTTATGTTCATTTGACATTGTTTTCAAACTCAGGGAAACTTATTTTTATCTTCCGAACTGGCTATGAAGCACGCGTTCCTCATGGCGCCGAAATTGTTTATTCGAATGAAGCCGATAAGGTTTGACCAATCCTAGTTTTGAAATGTACTTGTTGAGGTGTATGGAATATTTATATACTATCAGTAATGTAATTTTCTGTGTGAAAATGAACGAAATAAATGTACTTTTATTGAATATAAACAGCCCTGAACGAGGTCATGGTTGAAATTAATGTCGAGTTGGGGCAACAGGTGCTGGATTGCTGTCATCAACTTGAAACATCAACTTATTTTAATGTAACTTGTCTCTGAAATATTGCTCAACTTCAGTAGGTAAACAGTTGGCCCCAAATAATTATCTACCAACAGTGTTCTATAGCAGAACATTTATCTATCATGGTTGCACACGTTTGTTTGTTTGGTAACATATGATCAGCAGTGTTGATCCTTTTTTTTTTTATCACAAGGCCTATTTGAAATATGATAGAGGGTGCTCTGGTCATCATAGACATATTTCAATTTGCCTCTGCCTTTCAATAATAGATGTCCTATTTTGGTTGCAATTCCATCAGAGATGTTTTGTTTAGCTGTGAGAAGGGGGTGTGCAGGTAGGACGGTGATGGTGAGATGTCTTTGTACAAGAGCTTGTTAACATGAATGAAGCTATTTATTTAACTAATCCCGGCCTCTGTTTCATAAATCAATTGGGATCAGTTGTATTCGACATAAAACTATATAATTGTTTTGATTTTGGTTTTCTTTGGAGTGTTTACACTATCGATAAACATACGACCAAACCGGAAACATGCCAGTGGATATTTTACGCAGAGCGAGTCGAAAATTAATGTGAAGCCAACGAATACCATTACTGACAAGTGCCTTTACCACTATGGCATGCATTTGAAACATCGTAAGATTAATATTCATCAACTCTATTCTAGGGTGAAAAATGAGCATATGTACTAGTATTTGGTTATCATGGTTAATCTTGAAAATATATATCGTCAGATCTGTTGTCTGATGTTACACATTTTCAGACTGCAGTGTTTATTTGGGCTATAATAAAAACTGTTGAGACACACAAACCTTAATTCTCAAATGATGGCTTGTGTTTAGGATAAAGGTATATTTTATATGCTTGTGACATGTTTTACAATTCTGAAATTGTTTTACAAGCAACCACTAACACAGGGATATGTAATAGATGACATGAACGTGGTAAACAAATGGACAAAATATTGAACAGTGATAAATCGTTGCAGCCCTAGTGATAACATTTCAGGACATATCATAATGTCCTCCCAAATTTGAAATTCTACTGGCCCTAAGATAATTTTACCAGCACTTGTTGCCCAGTCATCTAAAGCCCCACAATAAACAGTTAAAAATGCGTATGACTTATGACTTATAGTTTAATGTAATCTCACATTTATCACATTTATGTTTGTTTTAGCATGATACATTTTGGTTTTCTTAAATGGTAAATATTAGGGGTGAAACAGTATGTCGCAGTATTAGTAGAACCGCTGTATTTGGCCTGCGGTTCGGTATACCGTAATGCAGTCCAAAAATTCAGTCATTTCTATCTAGTCATAAAATGACAGTTTGGTTCAGTAAAAATAACAAAGATTATGGTTATCGTTTTTGTCATGTTAAAGAATGTAAGGTTTGACTCTTGTTATCAGTTTTCTGCATTATGATCATATCTCACATACCAAACCGAAACAGACAGAACAAAGGCCTTGTACCGCATACGTACCATTCTGTGGTCGGAACTGTGGTAAGAACGTACCGTTTCACTCCTAGTAAATATCTGAGACCAGTGTCATGTCAGCATGTTTAGGCTTTCCTCCCACAGTATACCTGTGAAGATACAGGTTAGAATGAACCTTCAGTAACCCATGCTTGTCGTAAGAGGCGACTAACGGGATCGGGTGGTCAGGCTCGCTGACTTGGTTGGCACATGTCATCATGTCTCAATTGCGTAGAACGCTAGTCTGGTCCGACTTGACACTCATGTGTATACGAAATTGTCAATATTCTTAGCATTATTATCCGTGAAGATCCGGGTTAGAATATCGATCTTCAGTAACCCATGCTTGTCGTAAGAGGCGACTAACTGGATCGGGTGGTCAGTCTCACTGACTTGGTTGACACATGTCATCGGTTCCCAATTACGCAGATCGATGCTGATGCTGTTGATCACTGGATTGTCTGGTCCAGACTTGATTATTTACAGACCGCTGCCGCCATGTAACTGGAATATTGCTGAGTGCGGCGTAAAACTAAACTCACTCCTCCCACAGAAAGCTGACTCACCATGTTACTGTTTAGCAACTCTCAACCCAACACACTGACTATTTAAGACCGCCTCCGTGGTGTAGTGGTTAGAGCGTCCTCCCGGAGAGCGAAACGTCGCAGGTTCGATCCCTGACCGTGTCATACCAAAAGACGTTAAAATATGGTACTTGTTGGTCCCTGCCTGGCGCTCGGAATTATTGGGTACAACAAGGACTGGTCGGCTCGGAGTCAGTATAATGTGTCTAAGTGGGGTATTCATGCTTCACTGCGGCATGGTATCTCAGTGGGCTAGCACTATAAAACCAGCTTAAGTCTGGGCTAGTACAAGCAGTCGCACATACACATACACACACGCATGCACGTCGTCATATGAGCGAAATATTCTCAAGCACGTCATAAAACTCAATTTCACCTCACCTGTAACTATTTTATCTGTTCATTGTTTTCCTTGTCATGTAGTAGGTATGTGCATGGCAGTTATTGACTAAATATGTTGACCTATGTTTACATTGTATAAAGTGTATCTATATCTATATATGTATATTCTGCTGTCAGTAAGCCTGTTAGGATTCTATGGAATATGTCCCCCCAGTAGAGTATGTTTGCCCAATGAGTCTAGTATAAGTTATAAGTGAACATGATCAGGTGGGCCAGCTTAGTCTCTTGGCTGATACTCATTCATTTTTTATTTGATCATGGTGATAGGTTGGAATGTTTGCTGACATTGTTATGATTAGCACTAAGCACCGACTAAACACTAACTTCCCATATTATGTTGTTAAATGAATGTTTATTATGATTATGTCAATGTATGATCACTGAACTGTTGAGAAACTGTAACTCCCCTTTCAGTAATTGATTAATTGAAAGCACCAGCTGTGTGTCACATTTGATTGTTGTTGTTGCATTTGTGTGTTATTTATTACTTGTTACCATGGTTACTTCATGTACATGATGGGGCGGTGGGGTAGCGTAGTGGTTAAAGCGTTGGCTCGTCACGCCGAAGACCCGGGTTCAAATCCCCACAAGAGTACAATGTGTGAAGCCCATTTCCGGTGTTCCCCGCTGTGATGTTGCTGGAATATTGCTAAAAACGGCGTAAAACCAATCTCAGTCAGTCAGTCATGTACATGATTGTTGTAAGAGGCAGCTTATGGTAGTGGGTGGTCTGACTCACAGACTTCGTTGATATATATATCAGGGTGTCAGCATCAGTGTAGTTGATGCATGTCAAGGTATCACCCATCATCGGGGTGGCGTATAGCCTTGTGATTAAAGCATTCACTCATCACGCAGAAGACCTGGGTTCAATTCCTCACATGGGTAGAATGTGTGATGCCCATTTCTGGGTTGTTGGAATATTGCTAAAAGTGGCGTAGAACCCAGCTCACTCACTCACTCATATCGGCATTTGCATGGAACAATGATCCAGGTGTCAATCACAGGATTTTCTGGCCCAACATCTATGTTTTGGTCTAGTCTAGTGTTAAGCTGAAGATTTGAGTTTCATTCCCCTCATGGGTATAATCTGTGTAGGCCATTTTTGTTACACCAGTCTCACTTACTTTGGTCGACACTAGATTATTTTGATGACTGCTGTCATTGGGCTCAGGGATGGGATGGTGCGAATAGTTTGCCGTGAAAAGACAGTATGCAAAATTTGCAAAGCCCATACATTATGTTGAGAGCTGTTTGTTACTTTTTTGAGAGTGGAAAGCTCCAGTTAATATTCTCAGTTCTTCCTGGTAACTATGAACACTACAAAGTGGTGACATTTAAAATGAAAATGTAAAACTGAGAAAAGCAGTTGTATCGTATTTGCATTTGATCGTAGTTTATCTGCATTTAGAGTTACAAGTCTTCGTACAAGTTAGTAGTATGTTAAATTCTGGGGAGAATAGGTAAGTGGGTGTTAATTTTTTGCTTTATTGGTTAAATGTGTCGTTCATTGACTTAGACCTGAAGTACGGTCAGTGATATTTTAAGTAGTGCCATTTAAGTAAAAATCTGAAATTGTGAAAAGCTAGTTAACTTGATGTACATTGACAGCTGGTAAAAGTATTTGTCAGGGGTGGAAATAACTTTAAAATTGCTAGTGTACTCCAGTACAGTGGCACATGTAAAATCACTTGCCCTGATAATATTTCCACTATACCGGCCGTTTTCTTGTTGATGTTTTAAATAAACAACACAATTAATATTGGAAAGTCAACTGGACACCGGTACAGTAGGATATACAAATTTGCTTGCCCAACAGAAAAAAACCAGGACTCGGGCGTCGGGCAATGGGTTATTTCCACCCCTGTTTGTACTGTGTTACATTCTCAAGGGAATGAACAAGTTTAAGTTAAGCGTTTACTTTATTGATTATTAGTTTGTCAAAAGAGTTCATTCATATAGCAATATTAGCATTCTACAGCCTGCATGGTAGAGTGAATTTTCCCTGTTCAATACTCTCCACCAAAATATTTGGTGACTGGGGAGCTATGGTATCAACTTGCCATCTAGGTAATGGTATTTTGTCACATGCAAAATGTGGGAAATATAGAAACATGATATGTATCGTATCATGACCTCAGTATCGAGATACATATCACATCGTTAGGCACCTGTATTGTGACATCCCCAGCTGTCATATAGCTGGAAAATTGCTGAGTGCTGCCATAAGCCACAAACGAATATGAACTTGTTATGTACAATAGTATTTGATTTCAGATTGCTGAATCATGGCACCCAACAATGCCCTGCCAGTCTGGGGCAATGAGAAAACCATGAACCTGAACACTCTCATACTGACCAACATTCAGTCGTCACCATACTTCAAGGTCAACCTGTTTGAACTGAAGACATACCATGAAGTCATAGATGAAATATACTACAAGGTAGGTAAGATATCACCTGAACATGATGATGATGATGATGATGATGATGAAGAACTCTGACAATACACTGTAACCATGGTGACTGGTCATGTAGGGATGGGTCATATGTAAAAATACAATCATCCATATGATAATAATGATCCTATAATAGCAATCCTGTATTTGTCAGTACCAGAGTAAGTGAGTGAGTATTGGTCTGACTTTCGTTTTAAAATTGTTGCGATTATCATTTATGTAAGTAGTTCATGCAGTTCACACTGTATACTTCCTGGATTCTTTCATCTGTAAATATATTAATAGGTTACGAATCTGAATTAAATAACCCAAATCTCAGACTTCCTTCTGATTTTACAAGTAGTTTCTTCAAGGTATTATGGTGCATATTTCTTAGTATTTCAAATTCTGGTGTGCATTCTCAAAGTTTTATCTTCACAACTGCATGTACATAACATGCAGATGTGGCATCGTCTATCGTGCCAGTATCAAGTATGGTTGGCTGAAAAGATTCATAATCTAAATGTCGATATGAAAATTTTGCCTATAGTTTCATGCTTAAATTATTGTGATGAAATAATGTTTTAGCTTACTCAGTACCCAAGGTTAGATCTTTATTCATCAGGTGCTTATAAATTATGTTCAAGGCGGTGTTTTGTTAGTAATCCATGGTTGAATTTGTCACCACTCACCAGTATTGTGAAATAAGTTGATTTCCTTCAGAGTTTTTTGTGCATTTTCGCTCAAACTACCACTCCAATATTTATCCATAATCAATTGATATTTAGTAGACGATTATCAATCTTTATACAGAGGTACAGATAAGTTGCATATCTGCGTAAATTACGCAAATATTTATGTGAAAACTCAATTCTTATTAAGTCTATTGGGTACAAGTAACGCTTGAATTTTGAGAAATACTCAATAAGTGTGATCTTACATGCGTACACATGAAAATGTCAAATCTTAGCTTGCGTACCGGTGGATAGATAAAATAACTGAGGTTTACTGAGAGGTTCTATTTCGGGATATGAACTTGACAACTTGCAGTCTTCCTTATCGATCCTCTATTACAGATCAAATATAAATAACAAACACTAACATTTAAACTTTATTATATTTTTAAAATGAATGGAAAATTGCAAAATACTCAATTGAGTTTGAGTGAGGTGAGTACAATTTATTTGGTTACTCAAAGAAAATTAGGATACCCAATTGAGATGAACACAAGCGAGTACATAACTCAATGACCCAAAAAGTTATCTGTAGCTCTGTTTATATCTATAGCCAGCCTTATTATCAAGTGTATTTGCTCCATTGTGTATGTATCTAAATCGTTGAGAACAATCAGTAAATTTCCGGTATGACCCAATGTGAAACCCCAACTCAAGCCTGCATTGTTCAGTTTTTGAGTGGTTGCCTCCTGTTGCACTAGGTGATGCACCTGGAACCGTGGGAGAAAGGCAGTCGGAAGACAGCAGGCCAAACAGGGATGTGTGGCGGGGTGAGTACTAGCTACTGTTCATTATGTATTATTGTAGGGTTTTATAACGCACATATCCACGCAACTAGTACATGCATGCTCAAGATGCTGGTTTACTACATAGCACATAGTTCAAGGTATCCCACAAAGGATGTTATGGTAACAGCTACCTCAGGATAAACATAAAGCAAGCTAAAATGATTGGTTGATTTACTGGAATGACTGATGAAGCTAACATCATAATTATCATCTAGTCAGATTTGAAGCTGTCTGATATTTGATGGGACATAAGTTTTAAAAATATACGTCTTACAGAGCCCATAACCATGTTATCATCAAAGTGTGATTTCCTGTCATGTACAGTGGCATTCAAAATGGCCATGTCCACATTCAGCTGTGAGATAGAGAGTACCACTGATATATAACTTGATAGCGATCAAAAGTAGGTTTGGAATCATTTCAATTGGTCAAATATATCTCATTTTCCATTAATCTAAGGGCGGTGGGGTAGTCTAGTGGTTAAAGCGTTGGCTCGTCACGCCGAAGACCCGGGTTCGAATCCCCACATGGGTACAATGAGTGAAGCCCATTTCTGGTGTCCCCCGCCGTGATATTGCTGGAATATTACTAAAAGCGGCGTAAAACCAAACTCAGTCAGTCAGTCCATTAATCTAAAGTATATGTATAATTTTATCCGTGTGTGACGTTGATAGAAAAAAAATATTTTGGGGAAGGGGAAAATGTCGCCAGGTACAAGATCAATAAATAAAGGCCTATGAACACTAGACAAGATATTGTAGATTCAAACAAGTGACAGAATGTTCTACATGGTAATTTGAATCCTCTCTATATTGAGTGTTAGATACAGTACATGTTTCTCATCCAGGTGCGTGGGGTGGGGGCAGGAGGCATTGTGTCTAGTGCCTATTGTCTGCTGTACAAACTGTTTACTCTCAAGCTGACCAAGAAACAACTCATTGGCCTCATCACCCATGCTGATTCTCCCTACATCCGAGGCCTGGGCTTCATGTATATCAGGTAGGTTGTCAGGGATGTTGCCACCTCTATGTACCCATGAAGATCCAGGTTAGAATTGGTCCTCAACAACCTATACATGTTGTAAGTGGTGACTAATGGGATCAGGCAAAGTATTGTCGGAAATAGAAAACAAATGTTTTTTCGCAAATTATATCTACAATTTATTATTTATGTAGTTAATATGTGAAAGTGTGAACTATCTATTAAACTAAGTTCAGCCTAACTACAGTCTCAGTGGTAGGTAGATAGGAAACGTAGAAAAAGGACTTTACTGAGGAGTGATTAGTGCAGAAATGAGCAATGTGGGTTTTTTCTAAGTCCAAGGCAACTTATTTGGAACAGACCATGGCTTTATGTAAATTAGAGTGTGATAACGGATATTGTATTACAACGGATACTTCTTAAATGCCCATTTTGACATTAGACTTAGCCTCATTATAAACGATAGATGACATAAAAAATAATAACTTTAATTCTGAAACTATTAAGGATGTAGCTACCATGGAGTCTCACTATCGCTATTAATTAAAAGTAACAGGTTGGAGGGTCGTCTCAAAAGCAAAACCAGGACGGGTGTCGCAGAGAGTGGTTGGGGTCGGGCTGGGGGATAGAGATATAAGCTAAGATAAGATAATACTTTAGGGGAATTAAACTGGGGGCATGTCATTACAATTTACAAATAATATTCAGTCCTGTCGATCTTTGGGTGGTCATGCCACCTATATATTTTTAGACATTTAATACGATGGCTGGTTTAAGGTTTCTATGGGTATCATACTCTTTTACATATCTCAACATGAACGTTATGAAAGAAAGACACGTAAGATGTTAATCAGTAGATGAGACACATTCAATTCGCATGAAAAAGCATAAAATATCTTTGAGATGACCCCTTGTGCCTGTAGGTAGCACATGCATTTCATGCGAGGTGAGTCGACAATCTGTCGTCATACCTGGCTGAGCAACCTAATTGTCATCTATAGTCTGATCTATTGTTTTCAGCAGCTATTCATATTTTTTCGTAAGTTTTGTCAGATGTTACGAGTAAACATGTTTTTCTGGACATCCTATTATGGATCCCACTGAACGCCCAGTTAGGCCGAAGTGGGTTATTTCGACATATGCTATTTGCAATTGTGTCAATTTTAGGGATACAGAGTAACAGCCTAAAAACAGTTTTTTCTTTTTCGGACAGTACTTTAGTCAGACTCACTGACGTGGTTGACACATTTTATTGTATCCCTATTGTGTAGTTCAAGGCTCGTGATGTTAATCACTGGATTGTCTAGTCCTCGATTATTTACAGACTGCCATATAACTGGAATGTTGATGAGTGCGGCGTAGAACAACCAACCAACCAACAACCAACTCAACCTAGAAATTATCCAGTCTCATTATTTTTCCTTATCCTGACTCATGCTCTTTTGCTTGTCTTCTTCTTCTTGCGAACATAGTGGAACACTCCTTATTTGAAGCTCCCTTCAAAATAAAATCACTAATTGGTACTCACCACGAGTTGCTCCCCTTTGTCTCCCCTGGCGGGAAAGGTGTCGCCACCCTCTGGCCATGTGCTTCACTCTCTCCTTCTTCGCCCAGTGAGCAGGATGTGAGAGCGCCTTGTGTCTCCTTACACACATATCCTTTGATAATCTCTTAGTTTTTACCTCTCTTAGGTTACTATAGAGGTATAGCTAGTATCCTTTACTATTTGTATTGATTAATTATCGTTTTTCTACTGTTTATTCCGCGTGTATTACGTGATTGTTCAGCTAACTTTACGTTCATGAAAATCTGTATGCGATTTGTAGATTACACGTTTTCTGCCTCCGATCCACATGTAATATGCCCTAGTTGTTCTACGCGTGTCGTTTAATTCACGTTGCAGTTACTGCATTAATTTATCTCATTCTGCATTTAATAAATATCATCTTTGCGTCTTAAGGCGTGCTGCAGATAGATCACGCAACAAGGGCAAAACATGGCAGAGAGTCCAGATATTCCATCCAGTCAGCTGCTAGCGATCGACCCTCTCCCGTCTGGTGTTCTGCTAGAGACCCCCTCGGCAGAGAGGCGCGGGGCGCCAGTCCGTTACCTCGAGAAGCGACCGGCCTCCCCAGACATCCCGTCATTGCAGACTAAGTCTAAGAGGGCCTCTCATCGTCGTCTCAGCGCCAGATTGAGGACACCCAGGGCAGCGCAGACTTCCAAGGGGAAATCTCACGAAGACAAGAACTTTCTCAGCGAGATGGTTCCAGCAGCAGAGTTGGGCCTCTCGATGATCAGCCGATAATCATCCCGACTTACGGCAGAAGAAGCGACCCGGTGTCAGCGACTGTGACTTCTGCAGAGATCTCCATGCAGCCTGATGCCTCTACACCGGCGTCAGGCGTCATTGATGTGAACCCCCATCGCAGAAAAGGCGCCCGGCGACTTCGTCTGAGATCATCCCAGAAGACATGATGCGGCAGATTATGAACATCATGGAGGACCACTACAAACTGCGCCAAGCGAAGTCCGAGCACCAGCGAAGGCTCCAGCGTGAACAACACCCCAGAGGCACCCCCGTCAGCGTAGCAGCCAAGGCGATGTCACCTTCCGAAGGAAGTCCCACCACCACCTTGAAGGAAGGACCTAGATGTACAGCCTTCGAAGCGAAGGCGGGGAGAGATCATCACCATCTTGATTTCATCTCTAGATATGGACTCAGACCATCAGACATCACGGAAGCCTTCCAGCGAAGGTCATATCATCGATCCCCGGACGGACGCGCTTAAATGAAGCTTGCGAAGGCATTATGAAGGACATATGATTCAGATCTTCATCGTCTAGAAGAACATCGAGGGACTGCCGAAGAGCTTCGCGAAGCTATCAACATTCACCTCACAAGTCTCGAGAAGATCATCCCATAGGCGATCTCCTCCCGTTCATCACCAGGTCGATCACCCATCAGATCTCCACATAGAAGCGCACAAGTCAACTAGATCGCCACAAACCTCATCAGATATACAGACAGCTACGCGCAGTCCAGAAGAGCATCTACAATTTATTAATGATGATGGTTTTGAGGATGATGGAGGAATCATATTTTCTGATGCAGAGATCACGGTATTGGATGGTCAATAACCTAGATCTCACATCACCATCTAAAAGTGGCAATACAGCTCAGATGTATTTGATGAAGGAAGATGATCCAGATGCAATCACTCTACCCCGATGGAAGACCCGATTGCGGCAGTGCCACAGAATCTAGATGCAGCTTTCCAGAAAGCTACGAAAAGTTCAGATACCACATCTGCCCAACTTTCAAGCCAAGAAGTTCTCCGCGCGATAACATGGACTCCTTCTACAAGGCCCAGGACATCGATGAGAACTATAAGATCATCAGCGATGTAAAGAACAAGATTTACAAGATGGATGATGTAAGAGTTGGCTCATATAGAAACCATGGCGAGGGCGTATGTTCTTTGGGTTAAATAGATCTAGGGCGATCAATGAGACTCTTATTACTAGATTCGGGATTCCACGGCGGAAGATGATAGAATGATTTATTCTGCCTTACTTATGCAAAGAAAGATCAGCAGTTTTTAGCGGATCATCTTACATCTGTTTCAGCAGCACTGACCTTAGCTTCGTCGTCAAGGCCTCCTCGCCTCCTGTAATTGGGGAGAACTTTACAGCCCACTTTATACAGCCCGTGGTCGACAACATCCATCTTTGGCGGAGAAATCGAATCGAAAAGTAAGCCAAGGAAGTCTCTAAGGATTCCAGGGAAGTCCTTATGATTAGATCGATGGACACACTAGCCAGCGTCATTAGTCAGACTTCACAAAGATACTCAGGCAGATCTAAGTTCACGGGCCTACAAAGAGCAAGAGACAGGAAGATAGCCAGCTCTAGAGGTAAAGATTCTTTTAAAAGTAAGCCCATGGCAACTATAGAGGAGGATCAGGAAGAGGCAGGACACCCAGAGGTTCCCGCAATTATAGGCAGCTGAAACACAGGTTGAGCGACTGGAGTCTTCCACCCCAGCCGTTCCAGTACAACCAGCTCAAGTGGGTGGGCCTCCAACTACACTGGGAAAACTGGGGAATACTGCAAGACCCTTACGTCTCCAACATTCTTCAACACGCAGTTTGGTATCCCTCTACAGGCCAAGCCTCCGCTGACAATCAAACCCCCAAGTTCGATTTACAAGCAACAACTACCAAAGATAAAGAGGCTGTTTCATCACTCCTATCCAAACAGGCCATAGAAGTAATAGATCAAACAAGCGTCGAACCAGGTTTCTACTCCCCAGTTTTCCTAGTTCCCAAGAAAAACTCCGCGGGAGAAATACAGACTCATCTACAACATGAGCTTTTTCAACAAGAACTATCTCATGAAACCACGAAGTTTAGCATGATACATTTACCTCAGTTCATGAGATGATTAGTCCTATGGACTACATGGGCAGCATAGATCTACAGGATGCCTACTTGCACATCCCCATTCATCCCGATTCCAGGAAATACCTACGATTTACTCTAGAAGGGCTACATTACCAGTGGAAAGTACTCCCATTGAATATCATCAGCCCCTGGCTATTCACGAGGATAACGAAACCGATTATCAAATTTCTACATCGTCAAGGAGCTCGCGAGTGCGTTTTACCTCGACGACGGGATACAAGTAGATCAAGATCCACTGCGTCTCAAACTACAGTTAAATTACATCATAAAGCTACTAACACAACTAGGTTGGTTAGTAAACTTCATAAGTCGGACCTAGTACCATCGCCAAGACCTACAGTTCCTAGGTATTGATTCATCACAAATCGCTTAACCGTATTATGGTACCAGAAGACCGTTGGCTCAAGATACAACAGACCATTCCACCAGCTCTACTCTCTCCGTTACCACTGCGACAATGGCAGAGCCTACTAGGTCTTCTCACATCAGCCCAAGACATGACTGTCACAGGCAGATTACAGTTACGTCCCCTACAGGTCCTCATCAATGCACATCTCAGCGATGTACAACCATTCAGTCTACGAAACATCTCAGACCACATCTACTATGGTGGACCAAGAAATCGAATGTCTGCGAAGGGATTTGTTTAGCAGAGCAGGAATACAAAACCCATCTGTATGTAGGCAGCGTCACTCCAAGGTTGGGGAGCTCATCTCACCAACCACCGCGATATCAGGGTTATGGAATCAGCAAGAATGCAAACTCCATATAAACAGTCTAGAAATGAAAGCTGTAATCAGCGCCATTCTACATTGGAGCACATTTCTACAAAATGCGGCTAATGATCCATACAGACAATTCGACAGTGGCGTTCTACATAAACAAGCAAGGCTCAGCGAGATCGATGAACCTTTTGAACCTAAGCTTTCAACTGTTGATTTAATACAAGATCTAAATCTACATGTCAGAGCAGTGCACATTCCGGAGCCAGAAATATACTAGCAGGCGGCTCTCTCGGCCTCATCTACCATCACCGACAGAGTGGATGATCAACAGGAAATTTTGCACAGATAATCAAGCAATTAGGAGCTAATAGACCTATTAAGCCCGCAGCGATTCAACAATCAGCTACCGACATTACGTGTCACCAGTCCCAGACCCCCAAGCGGGCAGCGGACGGCTCTAAGTCTATCATGGGAAGGCCTCAATGCGTGCAGCGTTTCCGCCGCCAGCAATAATACCTCAAGTATTACAGAAAATCAGACAAACACAGAGCCTACAACTCACTTTGGTGGCCCTACTGGCGGCCAGAGCGTGGTTTCCATACTAATTCAAGAAATCGGTCAACCAACACTGGAGCTACCCAAGCGCGCCAAACCTGTTAATTCATCCTCACACCAAACAAGTGCGGAAACCCAGCAATGTTCCAACTACTGCGTATGGACTGTATACAAATGTGCTTAAACAAGAGGATATTCTGCCAGGGCGGCAAAAGCAGTCAAAGCGCGCTACGTTACTCAACTTCGTGGCTTGTGCGGCGACAAGTGGCACAGTTTGAAAATTATGCAACAAAGAAAGGGTTTACAGCAAGAAAGGCTTCACAACCTCAAGTGGCAGACTATTTGTGTTACCTACGCCAAAACAAACATTTAAAAGGTTCAGCGATATCAACATATCTTGCGGCTTAGCTCTGTAATCACCATGAGAGCGGGTGTCAAATTGACAAGATCTCCAGAGTTACTGGCCTTACTCACGAGCTTTCGATTGGAGGACCAAAGCGGAAGTTCCGCCCAGCTTGGGATCTGAATGTAGTGTTACAACACCTCACGAGTGAGGTCTATGAACCTTTGGAATCGACAAACTTTGAATTTCTCTCACAGAAAACATTGTTTCTGCTATAAGCTAGCCACAGCAGCAAGAATGTCTGAAATTCACGCTCTGGATTCTGAGAGGATACAGTTTGATGACAATCATAACACAGCGCACCTCCGGTTAAGATGGGATTTCATGCAAAAATCAACTGCCAGGTCAACCAGACAGATTATTCCACATCCGGTATCTATCCTCTATTCTCGGATCACAAGATACACAAGACCTATCACTGTGTCCGGTAAGGCTCAAAGTTTATTTCTGACGATCCAAAACAAGGAGAAGATTTCTCAAGCGTTTATTCATCCCATTATAAGCCTCTGAATCAAACAGAAGTGTCACGGACCACAATATCTATTTGGATAAGGACTGTCATTCTCCGTGCCTACAAGGCAGCAGGCTTGGACCCACCAACAGCATCAAATCCACATGAGATCAGGGCACTGGCCTCTACCCTCGCCCTACCGCGGTAACTGTTCCTTGAACCGCGATTATGGAAGGATGCTATTGGAAATCTAACATGGTATTTGCTAATCACTACCTAAGAGACATCACTACAGAAGATGTCTCTGGCATTCACCATTTGGGACCACTGGTCCTAAGCTCAGCAACTGACAGTCCCTCGTAGGCGTTAAAATATTATCCTCACAAGATTAATATGTATTTTATACATACTCATCTAGCTTATAACTCTACGGAGTTTTAGGGCTATGTATATATGTTCAGCTTAAGTATTCAACCTTAAGCATATACTTGGATATAGTCAATTTCAGTGCCTCTATCAGAGTCACCTATATATATATATATATATAATTTATATGTATTGTTCAATATATTCATAATGTAATTCCCCTTTAATGGCTTTATATAACCTATGGTTTTCTTTATACAGGAAACATCCTAAATCTAAGCCTTCATGAAGTTCCCGTAGGGGATATTACAGTATATCTATACAAAATCACTAATTATAAATCCAAAGTATTCTGTTACCCACCTCCGTTCCGTTAGGATGCTACAAGCAAAAGAGCATGAGTCAGGATAAGGAAAAATATGTAATTTTTAGAGTAAAATTGATATTTTATACTTATCCTGACTCATGAGGTTAGCCCTCCCATCCTCCCCACATAACACTTTGGATTTCCCTGTAAATTCAAGTGTTGGGCTCGCTAAATCAGGAGAGAGTGGAGCACATGGCCAGAGGGTGGCGACACCTTTCCATCCAGGGAGACAAAGGGGAGCAACTTCGTGGTGAGTACCAATTAGTGATTTTATTTTGAAGGGAGCTTCAAATAAGGAGATACAAGTGTTCCACTATGTTACTTAGAAGAAGAAGACAAGCAAAGAGCATGAGTCAGGATAAGTATAAAATATCAATTTTACTCTAAAAATTACATGTTACATGCTAATAATGAAATTAGCCAACAGTCATGTGAATTGATGCTCAATGGGTTTTCCTGTGAAAATATGGCACATGTTTCAAGAGCATGGGTACCAACAAAAAGGAATAGACACTGTTGGGATTCATCTAGAGGTGCTAGGAGACAGATATTCAACCCAAGTCTGTAGTAAATGCGATTGAAAATTTTCAAATTTTAATTACAAACTTCCAAGTGCCCCAGAGTTTACAAGAAAATAGGAACATTACAGAAATCAAATTTGGAACAATATGATGAGAGGGATTCTTAGGACGATGTATCTGAGATTATAATCAAGGCTACATTAGGCCTTTTTTGGTGAGTGCTCTCAGCACCTATTACAGCATTGCAGAGAATTAGACAATGAATATTCTATGTTACATTGGAGTAGTATTAATGGCTAGCATGTCGGTTCTAGGGATATCATTAAGTAGGGATGAACTGAATGAGTTGGTTGTCAATACTCGTAAACAGTTGTACTGAAGTTAACCGTGTCAGCACACACTTGCAGTAGACCTCCATTACACCATCACACTCCCTCAAACTCCCTCAAACCATGTCTCTTGGTGTCGGCTGGTGACATCAAGTATATTGTGGTGAGTATAGCGACCAGTCTTCTACTCTATCCCATGTTAACATACATTTTAGGCCAACTTAAAAATAGTTTGTTTTAGGCAACATTAGTCTCTGAATGGAGCAGATTTGATACTTTCAGACAAACCTTTTTCGCTTTGGTGTCAGATGAGGTTCCAATGACTGCTATTTTGTATCAGAACACAAAAGGCGCTTTTTAGAGGTGTTAGCTGGAATATTACATCAATATCAGGGATTTATTTAGATTTGTGCAGAGATTGATATTTGGCATGAAGCATTTGTCATCAGCAATTGTCATCAGTAATTGTCATCAGCAATTCCCAAACTTATGTTATTATTACAGCTGTTAATGTTATGACTTTTCAGAGATAAGTAGCATTTCACTGACAATAAAACCAATAAACTAATAGAGGCTCTATTCTTCATGATATTGCTGGAATATTGCTAAAATTGGTGTGAACCTTACTCATTAGTTTCAAATGATTGGTTGCTTGAATATGCCTGAAACGAACCTATTTTTAATGTGGCCTATACTACTATCATGATTACCGGTATATTGAATGACATGTGCTAGTCAGTATAAGTTGTAAATGTACTTTGTACTTCATGCATTTCCTAATTACAATTAGTTTAGCTTTTTCATTTTCCATTGTACAAATGATAATAAGTTTTACATGCTATAATGTTGATGAATATAAACAGATTTAAAAGAAAGTATTTCCTTTGCAAAAAGATTTGGATTATTTGACGCTCTTCAACGTAAATAATGCTTCAAGACATAATGCTAAAGAGATGTCTTGTACATGTAATGTAAGCATGTAAATGTTCTTGTTGCTTCTCTACTTCCCATATTGTTTATGATTTTGTTGTGACTTCAGGGTGTTGCTCTAGCCCAGCATTAGAGTGGTAGAGACAGCTGCTTCGCGGCGGAGCCGGACCTCGATTGAGGTTAAACTTTGATCAGTGCTTCACAAGCAATAGTGCTTCCTTGTTTCTAGCATGTGTCCTGACACGCCCCTTTAATATGTTGTAGTCCATAACTTCACAGCGTCAAGTGGAAGTCAGGATTATTTAGTACATTGTAAGAATCAAATGACTTCAACCAAAAATAATGTTGATTTAAAACTGATATGCAAATTTTAGCAACTTGTCGTTATGATGAGAAACTTGTAAATTTCTTCAATTCCTGTCATGAATTTGGGCCAGGACTACAGTCAGTGCTAATTTATGACAATATTGTCAACATGGTAACTTGCAATGATAACTGACAATTTTTGTCAACATGGTAAGAACCTTTCAATTAGCATTGACGAAAATGTCAAGTTGGCAACAACCTTACAATTATGGCTGACAGTATTGTCTACTTGGTAACAACCTTACAATTAGGGCTGACAATATTGTCAACATGGTAAGAACCTTTCAATTAGCATTGACAAAATGTCAAGTTGGCAACAACCTTACAATTAGGGCTGACAGTATTGTCTACTTGGTAACAACCTTACAATTAGGGCTGATTGTCAACTTGGAAACAACCTTACAATTAGGGCTGACAATATTGTCTACTTGGTAACAACCTTACAATTAGGGCTGACAATATTGTCAACTTGGTAACAACCTTACAATTAGGGCTGGCAATATTGTCTACTTGGTAACAACCTTACAATTAGGGCTGACAATATTGTCTACTTGGTAACAACCTTACAATTAGGGCTGGCAATATTGTCTACTTGGTAACAACCTTACATTTAGGGCTGACAATATTGTCTCCTTGGTAACAACCTTACAATTAGGGTTGACAATATTGTCAACTTGGTAACAACCTTACAATTAGGGCTGGCAATATTGTCTACTTGGTAATACCTTACAGTGAGGAATGAGAATATTGTCAGCATGTCAGTCTCTTCCAACTCATCCATCAGTTGGCATGTTGTTTGCCATCTCTGATGTGACCCACAAGATGTAGGACTGTGTTTGGATTGGACTTAGAACTCCATTGCATGTCAGTATCCATTTGCTGGTTCTTTTGATTGCAATATCTATGCTGATATGTCACAATATGTCAGCCTCTTTTATTCAGTGACCTTAGCTCTCTATGTCAAATAACGTACACTGCATTCGTACAACAATTTTCCTTACAAATCTATGAAATAAGGATACTTGTGTAAGCAACAACGTTGCTGTTCCTTTTTTAACTCGTTAAACACAAGATCCGTTTGAAACCCTCAGTACTGTCCACATCTGGCTAGAGCAAAACCCATACCAGGTTGTTTCTGTGGAAGCTTGTGATGATAACTGCCTTTGTTAAGGTCTGCTGTTGCTGCTGTTGCAGGAGATTGATGTCAAAGCAGGTGGAGGACATGCAATCACAATAGGAGAGCTGTGTCGGCAGTACCTGGTGAAGCTGGAGTGGTACTCCACGCTCTTCCCTCGCATCCCGGTCCCTGTACAGAAGTCCATCCAGGAGAAGTTGAAGACCCGTCCCGCTCTGCGCCCCGCTGCTGAGGAGACTGAGTTCATACCCCATGAGAGGAATCGAGAGGAGGATGTGTCGTTCGGTGAGGCTGAACGTGCTGCCAACAGACGAAGGTGAGTGAGAGGTAACCAACACTTTATGTTTTAATGTTCCCAGGTCTCTTCTGTTAGTTTCTGTAACCTTAGTACAGTTCCTCTGCAACCCAGTTTCTTGTCTCATCTGTATTACTGGTTTCATCAGCAGAACTTAGGAGAGGTTCAATTCTTACTCATTTTCAGTGCTCATTTACTTTTTGTACATTGAAAGTTCAACCATTGCATATTGTTTTTAAAAATTTTGTGATCAAAACAGACAAAATCTGGAGAAAGTTTTAATATTTTTTACAAGCTGTATTTTTCATATTCAAATTTGCCCCGTCAGTGCAAAAGATCCACCTTTGTTTCAGTCCTCCAAGAAGACATAGGTCAAGGTCACCTCGGAGGTCACCTCATAGACGGCCCTCACCCCGCCGTTCACCAAGACGATCTCCACAAAGAAGACACTCGCCTCGTAGAAGTTCCCCAAGACAAGAACGAGAGAGGGATCGGGAGAGGAGGGGTCAAGTGGATGATTTTGCAAGGGAACTGGAACGAGAAAAGGAACGGCAGAGGCGCGAGAAAGAAAAGGATCACAAACGAGAGAAGGAGAGGAGGAAGGAAAAGGATTCCCATCGTAGTCGAGATACCCAAAGTTCTCATGGCAGGGATCGGCGAGAGGAAGGCCGAAACAAAGAGAAGAGAAGGTCACACAGTAGAGAACGGCATGAAAGGTCAAAGAGTCGAGATAAGTCGCGCAGGTCGCGTAGTCGTGAGAAGCACGAAAAGTCCCACAGCGAAGATAGAGTAGAGAGATCTGAAAGGCACAAACATAGGTCAACTGATGAGCACAGAGAGAAGCGAAGGTCAAGGTCACGAGAACCCAAAAGGTCAAGGTCAAAAGAGAAGAGTAGGGATAAGCATGGCCGATCTCGGGAAGATAAGGACAAAGACTCAAATCGTGAACACAAACGAAATAGACATGATGGTGAAAACGGCGAGTCTTAGTGCCACAAAACTCACTAGGCATTCACTCCTTTATCTTCTCAAACGTGCAGCAGTTTGACTGTCCAGTATAAATGAAGTTGAGTGTTTTATCCAGCTCATTGTTGCCTGTTGAGATGAGACTGATTACGTAGATGGTGGTCATGAGGTGCTGTATGTTGCTGCTGTCATTTTGCTGATCCACACATTCTGTTTTGTACATAAACACATCATTTTATCATTGAATTCAACATTTTCATGTGCCACAGTCTAGGCCTCCTGTGAGATAAACACCTCTTTAAATGCTATATGCCATGCAACTTGATTATGGCCATTTAAGAAAAGTATATGAAATGAAAAAGATGTGATCGCGGGAGATTACTTTCCCCATTCTTATTATCACTAAAGGGTTTATTACTGGATCCAGATTGCAACATCTTGATGCTAAGTTCTGATGAGGACTGCTAATCTACATAACAACTTAGGGTATGGATTTACAACTTCTGTATTATTTACAACACAATGTTTCAGTTGAATGATGAACATTGTAAGTCTAGTAGAGTATCAAATCACCTCAGCTGCAGAAATTAACATGAAAATATATTGACAGTATTGCAAAGAAGCATTATGTCTCCACCAGCATTAACTAAAAATTATATGACATTTTACATGTTTAAGTCAGTTCAAGTAGGATGCATATCTTACTGTGTTCATACATGACATAGATTTTCTTTGAATCATTAAATGAATTTTGTTGGGTTTTTTTTTTTTTTTTTTTTAAAATTGGGTTTAAGAACAACTTAGAGAAATTGGTCAATTGTATCATTTGAGTGTGTTGAAGAAATCAAGCAGGTTTCCAGGCCTAAGGAACTCTTTAGTCTGTATCTCCATAGTTGTCCAGCAGAATTCATTAGAAGTGAAACGAGAAGGTGGAGCTGTGATTAGGTATGATTAGGTATGATGCATGTAAGGGTGGGTGCGATTTGGAAATAGGAAATATGCTCCGTTAGGTTTTTTGTATGTTGGTCTGCAAGACTAAATGTGATGTGAAACTGTTGCAAGTTTGTGCCATATTTTGATTGCATTTCTGATTGCTAAATTTGGGTATCAGTAGTGCTTGTAATTCAGAAGTTGATGTTCCTTGGTTTGGCAGGTGAATTGTAGCACAGAATGATATAGGCTAGATGATGAATGAAATGCTGATTATAGCCAAGTTATTAAGACAAGACAATCTGTGTGAGGAAATGTTTGAACGGTTTCGTTTCGAAATTTTCGTGTCCCAATTTCATAGATTGATGCTCATGCTGTTGATCACTGGATTGTCTGGTCAAGGCATGATTATTTACAGACCTCCACCATATAGCTGGAATATTGCTGAGTGCGGCATAAAACTGAACTCATCAAAATCGTTTCCATTTTTAAATCTGTTATTTTCATGTTCCTACACCAATATAACCTGTGATGTATCATATGTATCATGATACAGGGGTTTTAAATCGAGGGATTGTATCATGACCCTGGTATTGGGACACAGTGCTGTGTCACCGTATCGTTACACCACTAGAAATTTTAGAAACTGATGTTGCAAGGAATGTATATCTTCATCTCATGGTGCTACATAGAGGACAATTTAATTAGAAATTATTTTTGAATCCAATATTCTTTCTTGTAAATTCTTTCATTTCAAGATGGTGTTTATTTCATGGCTGGTTACGTAATGATTTGTTCGAAACATGTTTCATTTGTACAGGTTCACACAAAATGGTTTTACATTTATTTATGTACTTCATACCAACTTATTGCCTTTGTGTTACTATTCTCAGGTTCTGTCACCGAAGTCTCTCCCCTGGGTAGTGAGCAGGGACCACTGATTACAACTGTCATGCATCACACAACATCGTCAGAATCGTCTAAGTGTTATCAAGCATTTCTCACAACTCAAATAATACTGTAATATAATGTTTAGTGTTCATTTTACCGAACCTTTAACTTGTTTCTGTTATATACTGTCCCCTGCTGAAATAATGCTAAAAGCAGCATAAAACTCAACTCACTCACTACATACAACTCTTGGGTTGGTAGGTAGCCTAGTGGTTAAAGCGTTCACTTGTGCTGAAGACCCGAGTTCAATTCCCTTTATAAGTACAAAGTGTAAAGCCCATTTCTGGTGTCCCCTGCCATGATATTGCTGGAATATTGCTAAAAGCAGAATAAAACCATACTCACTCACTAAAGCTGTAATATATCTGGTAAATATTCTATACTACTCAAAATATGTTAAGGAACACTCATTTCTTCCATAAAACAACTAGTAATCTGAAAGAATCTGGTTTGCTGGGACTTGTGAGTATTATATATTATTCTGAGTCACAAGTTGATGCATCCAAGGAAGTTGCCCACCAAAGAAGTTTGGAGGCTGTTAAAATAAGAACTACCCCAGAACATTTTAAAAGTGGATTTGGTTTACATATAAGCTGCATTACAATTAGTTTGTTTCTAGGTCGTAGAGCAACCCATGCTTGTCATAAGAGGCGACTAATGGGATCAGGGCTTGCTGACTTGGTTGACAAATGTCATTGTATCCAAATTGCGTAGATTGATGCTCATGCTGTTGACCACTGGATTGTCTGGTTGTTAGACCGCCACTATATAGCTGGAATATTGCTGACTGCGGCGTTAAACAACAAATAAACAAATTCTATTTAAATGCCTGGCTAAATCTCATCTCGAAATAGGGGAACAGGGCTTCCGGCTTGCCAGTGTGTCACAGGAGTGTTGAAGTGTGGGAGCTCTCACTGCTATTCAATAACCTTAAACGGATACTCGCATGTCCCATGCATTATGATGCTTAGTAAACAGTGAGGTAAACTTTGGGACTTAAAATTGCACAAGTGTATCCTTCTTTGAATATAACCCAACAGGCTAGTATTTATCCTGGCTAGGAGAGGGTTCGGGTTATTAGTACCTTGCTTAACTGGTAACTGCTATTGGTCACATTGTCTGGGATAAAATACGTCTGTTCTCAAGTTATTAGCTTGGGAGTATTTCATACTTTTCTAGGTGTGTACTTGCTCGAGAAGAATGTAGATACTTCATGTCAAAGAATGAAAAATGAAAATTCTCACTTTGTTGCAATTGTTTCTTGTAAGATTTGTAAATTAATAGCATAGCAGGTAAGGACCACAGAAATATGGAAGATCTTTCTCTACTGCTGTTTTCAGTGAATTGTTAATAGGTGATCTGTTCCCCATATTTGATGATTTATATTTTCAAAGTGTTGAAGGGTGTTTGTAAATGTGAATGGTTAGTTACTTAACACCTGTTTAATTTTAACACATTTTGTATCAAACAGTAGTGTTGTTTCTTCTTTTTACTTTATAAATTGTAAGCCTATTTCCTCATTAAATCAGGAAATTTAATTTTCTAGTCCAAACAAACTTAGTACCATAGTTTGCCAACAAAGTGTTAATTGTCTGAGACATGCACCATGTTTGGCCTTCCTCCGACATTAGGGGCGGTGGGGTAGCCTAGTGGTCAAAGCGTTCGCTCGTCATGCCGAAGACCCAGGTTCGATTCCTCACATGGGTACAATTTGTGAAGCCCATTTCTAGTGTCCCCCACTGTGATATTGCTGGAATTTTGCTAAAAAGCAGCGTAAAACTAAACTCACTCACATGACACCAACATGCCATGACTGTTCAAAGTGGTGTTAAATCCTACCCTCTCATTCTTATGAAGTAGAGGCAGTGGGTTTGCCTAGTAGTTAAAGCGACCGCTCGTCACGCTGAAGACCCGGATTCCATTCCCCACATGGGTACAATGTGAGAAGCTCATATCTGGTGTCCCCTGCAGTGATATTGCTGGAATATTGCTAAAATCGACTTAAAACCATACTCACTCACTCTGGTGTCGCCCATTGTGATATTGCTGGAATATTGATAAAAGGGGCGTAAAACTAAGCTCACTCACTCACTCACTCACTTATGAAGTAGATAATTGTTAACATCCACGGAACACCCACCAAACCAATAATTTGGGTGCACAAAATGTCTGATCTAGATAACTGAAGCCCAGACTGACCTGGTAATCTCATCCCATCGTTTTCCTGAGGGTGAGAACGTGATAATTTGAAAGTTAGTTTGCAACAGGTTGTCTGTTCAGGAAATAAATTGCATATCCCATTCTGTGAAGGGGTGACAAGGTTGTTCCACAAATTGATTAAAATAGATTTAGAGATTCAGTGAATAATTTTGTACATATTACTTTTTTTTTCAGAAAAGACATCAGTGTGAGATTAGAATGATTTTATTTAGTTTAGGAGCAGTAAAACTTTGTACATAACTTTAATAAACCTTGTAAATATCAGTTAAATATGTCTGATTACTAACAGTAGTTCCATATTGGTCTTCTTTCAAATGTAATAAATTTTATGCAGACTATTATTATATTTTGTGTTTTTACCTTAAACATTCAAAAGCAATGTGGGGGTAGCCTAGTGGTTAAAGTGTTCGCTCGTCACGCCGAAGACCCCGGGTTCGATTACCCACGTGGGTATAATGTGTGAAGCCCATTTCTGGTGTCCCCTGGTGTGATATTGCTGGAATATTGCTAAAAGCGGTGTAAAACCATACTCACTCACTCAAAAGCAATGTTTTCCCCATTCGTGATCAACTCGTGTTATTCCAGGACAAGCCAAATAACGTGCCCCTATGGAAGGATTTCATATTGGCGTATCGAGAAGGGGACGAGTCTTCTTGGAGGTTACGGAAAGGGGCGAGTGGTGACGAATGTGTTTTCCCATGAATTTCCGGGGTTGGAATTAGCATTCAACCCATGATTGTCATTAAGATGATTTATGGGATTGGGTGGTCAGGCTCACTGACTTGGAGACCGCCTCCGTGGTGTAGTGGTTAGAGCGTCCGCCCGGAGAGCGGAAGGTCGCGGGTTCGATCCCCGACCGCGTCATACCAAAAGACGTTAAAATATGGTACTTGTTGGTCCCTGCCTGGCTCTCGGCATTAATGGGTACAACAAGGACTGGTCGGCTTGGAGTCAGTATAATGTGTCTGAGTTGGGTATTAATGCTTCACTGCGGCATGGTATCTCAGTGGGCTAGCACTATAAAACCAGCTTCAGTCTAGGCTAGTACAAGCTGCCGGACATACACATACACATGCATGCACGTCGTCATATGAGCGAAATATTCTCAAGCACGACGTAAAACCCAATTTCACCTCAC